CTAAAGATTCTTAGCTTTTTTTTAATATTTGAGTCCATTTGCTGTTAGCAATGTGAATGAATACGAATATAGATATGAATATTCGTCTTGTAACTATATAATAAGTTCAAAAATCAATTCTAAATGGTTTTAATAATGAAGTTTATTTAGGTGTGACCTAAAAGATTTAATAGTTTTACATATACGTATTCTTGAGAAAAGAACTTGTTTTAAAAAAATAACTCTTCTAAAGAATCGCAGTCAACGAACGATGGTCATGTTTCATGTTCACTGCTTGTGCCCATGTGTTTTAATTGAAAAGAGTGATGGATGATATTAGACAGAATTTAAAACTTTTATCATTCTTCAAAATCAGAATAACACTTCTCAAACAATTATACTGTATATGGATTTGTCTTGTTCATTGGTCATTAGTAATTCTTAAATTAATTTATTAATACCTTGGATTACTTAGAATTTTTAATTCAATTCAAATTTTATCACATTCTGATTATGATTGTTAATTTGAAGAACTGAATAATAATTATCTAATAGAGATCGATTATCTTTTTTTCCAGTATTATTACTATGATGACGTTGTTAATTGATCTTATTTTTATCTAATATATGTTGAATGACTTCTTTTTCGCAATATAAACTTTTGAAATTTTTTTTATTTGCTATTTTAATAAAATGATCAGATAATGTATGATCTTTTTTTTTCTTCAGAATACATATTTGAGCAAAAGAGAATATTTATTAAATGATTCAAAGCAATGTATATAAAGATGAATGGATCTTCGAGTTAGATTACTAGTTAAAACATGAGAATGTTTAATGTGTGATTGATATGTACATTTGTCTTGCCACCTCGTAGAACAAAATAAAGGCGTAATGGATGATTAATAATATTTATGTTGACGATCGGGCATTAATTTCTAAATATTCACGGTTTTGACTGAACAAAAAAAAAGAGAAAAAATAACGCATTAAACCCTCTATTTAGCAATTATCATGAATCTCAAATGAAGAAAATAATGTTCATATCTAAATTTTGACGTTAAATTGCTTTTTTTTGCTGCATGAGAATTATTTGTCTCACCATTGTATATTTTGACAAATAATTTCTTATCTTTTTCGTTTAAATCATGATCAAAAGCGATCAAAGTCTTTTAGAATAAGTTTTCATTGATTCTATTTGTACACATATACTCAATTTTTATTTCTACCATTTCATGTTTGGCTCTTTCACGTTTATATTTACTTAATTGTTCTAGATATGGATGAGGCTGCATCAGTGTGTATATAGTAATCTGCTATGTGCTCATATTTCAGAAATCACACTTTTTTATGGCCAGGTACCGTGATGCATAATATAATGTCATTCGCCATACGTAACCATGTGGCAATTAATTTTTTTTCTATTCTTCCAATCGTTTTGTTATATATAGATGAAGAAAAAAAGGTGACATGGCGGTCGCTTTTTGTTTTTCTTGCTCATATTCGATCGTACATGTCCATGTGCGTGTGCACGACTTATTGTTTGTGAATTCAGTGCCCATGGATTGGATAAAATTGATTCCAATTAGTGTCTCTTGTGTGAAGATTTACTATTTGTTAAATATTTCGAAGAAGAGAAATGAATAGATGAGTAGCTATTTCTACAATCAATCAATTGTCTAAACAAAAAGAAACCGAATCATTTTCCTAAGCGAAAGAAACATTCATCAATAAGCGAATGATTAACAAAATTTTCAGTTCAGAATGAGTAGTGCTCATTGAATTGTGGACTACAATAGTCATTAGCATGATAGTCTTTGCAAAAACGTATACAAAGGTAAAGATACACAACTCTGTACTTGCATTGTTTTTAAAAAATGCCTGCTACCTTTATTAAATCTACACATGGCAGATGACAGTTATATGCCAACAACAACAAGTTATTTAGATTTATCAGTCATAGAACTTGACGAATATATACATTTACCTGATGAAACTGATAAGAAAGTATTGTATATGAGAAAAAAATTTAAAGCGTAAAGCTATCGAAGAATCTGGTCTAATCGATTATATAGTTGAAGAAGCATTTCATGCGGTTAATAGTCAAATTTTAATCCAATGATTGTATTGTTAATTTGCCGTAGGTTCATATACTATGACAAATATTTTATAAAAGCAATGTTGCAAGACTCGTCTATCAGTCTCTTAAGTAATCGAACAACTTCCGTTCCATTACTCGATGTTAATTACAAAGAAGCAAAAGTTGAATGCATTTTTTATATGATGGGCCACTTGATGGTATTAGTTCGCTGAAGTTTTCCTCTTATAATGATATGGTGCATTTATCACAACAAGAACATTGTTACTATGATGAAAGATTTTATACGTATCCATCTATTTATTATCAAGTGTACTCGGTTCATACGTACGATGATGCAGTATCAACATCATGCGTTTCTATGATAATTGAAGATAAATCCGATCAAATTTATTTCGACTTATTTACAGTAGCATTCAGAAAAATGTTCGAACTCAAGTTAGTTATTAGATTATAGAAATGATCACAATTGATTTTGAATTGACTATTTACAATGTTCGTAGTGGACATTATCTAGTTGTTATTGTTCGGGTTTGTTCATTTCATTATGGGCAAAGCTTATTTCATAAGTTCGTTGATCTTGGTTTAAAGACAGCATACAGAAATGGTGACAACTTTCGTGATTAGTTCAGATCTTTCGCAACACTATCGTTATTGCCATTAAATCATATGCGATGCACTTTACAATGTTTAACTCGTACTGAACCCGACTATCTAGATATCCAAGAATTTCTTGATTGTTATCATAATGCATATGGAACATTCCATAAACGTCTACCACATACACCGAGTCCAAAAATTATCCGGACACCCTATATTTTTTCGTATTTCCTGGTTTGCGAAACAGAAACAAGAGATAATTTTTTTCTTTTTTTCCACCAGTAGATAGTTCCTATTTCGTGCAGTTTTCCACAGGCTTTCTAGCGGTGTATTTGGAGATTAATTTTGATAAGAAATTCATTGTAATCTTTTACTCGCACTGTGGTATTAGGCATGTTCAAGAATCTGATTTCTTTTGAAATAGTTTGCATCGTAAAAATTATCTTTCTTCATTGAAATATTATGCCAACAGATAGAGCGTCCTTTCCTCGTTCTAGCGGTGTGCCAATAATATAATTCTAATGTCAGGAGATCGAGCACCTAACATATTGGAAAATCGGACATTTTCATGAGAAACGTCCCCGTAATTCGAGATGATAGTCAAAATTGCTGCTTTTTAATAGGAAACCTAGTTCGAAGTAAGAACTATCTACTGGTAAAAAAAGAAAAAAAATATCTCTTGTTTCTGCTTCGCAAACCAAGAAATACGAAAAAACAGGGGTGTCCGGATACTTTTTGGACTGGGTGTATATACAGCCATAATGATAATATAAACCATGTAATAGTAATTATTTGGAAGGCAGACATTCTCGAAGGAAAAACCATATAAATTCTCCACATTCAAGCATTTACATTGTGATTGATGTGACTACGAAAGGAACAATCGTTAGCCTTAATAGCAAGTATATAAGATAACATGGGAGCTTCAATTTTCAAACGTCGGAAACATAAAGTTACAACAGATGAATGTTTAATAAAGCTGTGACAACGTTATGATGAAGATCGTATTGAAAACCTAGTGTTATTGAATGTTACTGGGCTAACATATTTTCAAAATCCATCAAACAATTACACAGCCATCTCTTTGTTTTTTTGTTGATATATTTATCGGATCTTTTTTTGTTCTAAAAAAGCATTGATTATTGCAATGACTACTCATTTGTTAATTTCTCTTGTTCGAAATAATCAACAAACAGTAAATCCTCAACAACACAATTTCATTTTATTGAGTAAAAAACCAATTAAAATTGTAAATTAATCAATAAATTTCATTGAGCTATATCCACTCATGAACAATGAAATATGTATTAATTGAAATGATCTTACTGTACGTGAGTGCGTGACTACAGCTTAATTACATTCATCTGTGATCACTCTCCAACAACCGAGATGGTCGTCATTTTTTTTTCACCGATTAACCCATGCCAGTGTATATTCTAAATGAACATTTTTCTCCTAAGAAATCATGTATATTAATTTTTAACATTAATATTTATTTTTCTTTGATTTATATTTTAATGTTATGAAATCAAGTAAGTTTTTTTCTAATTTTATTTTTTATTTATTTAAGAGTCAATTCGAAATATAAAGGTAAATTTTCTTTGATTTAATTTTTTTCTTTTGTCGTTGTTGGTGAAAATTCCTATAGTGATTTTCGTATTTGTTTTATTTTCTTTTCACTTTTAACCAGTGTTGATAATCTTTTTTTGCTTTTCATTTCTTTAGATATTTTAGGTCTACCTTATTGAATTAAATATAGAACAGTAAGTTATTTTTTTAATACTTTTAGATATTTATTTAACCAATAATAGTGGAATGAGTTATTTTTGATTCTTATTGAATATTTTTTGAAATCAAATGTTTCTCTCCTCTTCTTTTTAGTCATCAATCTTATCCATCCGACAATAAACGAGTGAGTGATGTTTTCATTTGTTGATGGCATGGACAATAAAGAGGATGGATGAGATTAATGAAATATCTAGAAGTAGTGATACGGGCAGTCTGAAAGAGGGTTGAGGTTAAGACAGAGATCTTGCCAGAGTCAGGCAGATAAGTCATTGTATTTGAGATCCTTTATGTAGACCCTAGAAGCTCGCTCAGGAAGCATCTTAATGGTCGTGGCACACGACTGGGAGCTTTCAAACTCATATACGTGTCATGTGTAAATGAGTCTGTTCCGTATGTGCATGGCTTTCAGGCCGCCATAGCTCTACTAGTGTAATTCTTGATCATAGGCGAATAGAATACGGATTAGATTGAGTCTTCTTCGAATAGCCAGTTCTTTTTGATTGATCATTATTTATTTTATAGAAAGAAAACAGAATCAACTATGCTGATGAGTTTCTTCGATAGCAAAACGTTGAACTCGATGGTTTCCATAATCAACGACATAGAGATGGCCATGTCGATCGAAAGTCAAATCCGTGGGAGAGTTGAACTGATTTGCTTCTTGTCCCCGACCATTTCCACCCACAATGACAGTGCCTTGTTTTGCTTCTTTAAGCCACCGCATCACTCTGTGGTTTCCCCAATCTGCCACATAGATGGTACCCAACTGATCAACGAACAGTCCATTAGGCCACGATAGCTGTGTCAGAGCCTCTCCTTGACCTCGATCTCCTGCGACAACTATTCCTTCTTTTGCACCTTTATTCCATTTCATCACACGATGATTCGAGCTGTCCGACACATAGACAGCCTGTTGTCGATCGACAAAGACAAAGGTCGGCAAATTGAGTTGATTGAAACCGCTACCTCTATCATGACCACCAGCTACGACAGTCCAATTCTTGCCTTCTATTTGATATCGTCTTACTTCATGTTTTCGGCTGTCAGATATGTAGAGATATCTCTGATCATCTATTACCAATCCCTGACAAGTGATGTTCTCGAAAAGAATTTTCCCTTGAGTTGTGCCACGACGACGAGACCATTGTAGGACTCGTTCATTTCCCCAGTCACAGATAATGAGACTATCCGTATCTTTGTCAATCAACATATCAGTTGGTCGATCCAATTGATCCAATCGATTTCCTTTGCCATTGCCACCAGCTACTACTTGTCCATTGGTATCACCGATCTTCCATTGAATGATACGATGGTTAAATGTGTCAGCAATGACCATCGATTGATCATCATCAATGAAGAGGCCCGAAGGGTGATCGAGTTGATTGGTGGCATTGCCTACTCTATGGCTTTTAGCGATGGCCAACCCATTCTGCCTCCATCGAGCATTGGCTAGAATATTGGGAATCACTACAATGAATGAAAAAACAAATGAATCGTTATCGTTGTCGAAATGATTACTTTTCATCAGTGGAAAAGAGCTACAAAAGAAGATATTCTTCTTCAATGGGAGCTAAGTAAAATAAAACTTGACAAAATTCAATTCGTCGATACAGACTCCGAACTTTTTGTAAGATCACTTTTAAAATACGTTTCTTATCGATTCAAACATCCTTACGAAGTAGATTTGTCTAGTAATAACTTTATTCTTGAGCTGTTGCAATCCTTCTCCAGTTCCAAAAAAATGAAAAAAATGCCTAACTCGAAGAATAATCCAGAATAAACAATAAACAAAGCAAAACTAACGAAGTCAAAGAAATTCGTTAAAATGTGTGAGCTTGTAAGTGTGTGTGGGCGTCGTGTTCACCCCTTGGCCTCATACCAACACGCAGACTCACACATATCTGCACTCACCCACCTTATCTTTCTTCGTATCTTCGATTTAGTGTAACAAGAAAATTATGCGTCAAGTCCCCAGGTCTTTCGTTCTGTCGTAAAAAGTGTCTGCGATTCATATCTGTTGTCAAACAATCACTCCTGTACATGTTTCAAATATCCTTGCTAAAATACTGAACTGATATAATGTTTCCTAGCCATTTGGGCTTGGTAAATAAGATCTCATTTTGAATTCAAGTACAAACGATTTTTCAAAGTTTTTTTTCATGAAAATGTTCAACAGCAATTCCTCGATTTCTACATGTGACTTTCAAGCAAAACTAAAGTGATTTTGATGCGAAAACGAGTAAACTACGTAATTGATTCAATAATTTTTCGTAGGTTGAAATTGATCGACTTCAGCAAATATTCATTTCCTCAAACTTATTAGTAGCAGTATTGAGAAATCTGGTTTCATAGTTGGATAGAACATACTCGAACACATCTAGTGATATAGACTTTGTTCCTTCCGGATGCCTAAACTGACAGAGAACGAGCAAACAACTGGAATCGAACAGGTAATTCTGTGAATTTTCACACCACTGTATGCATGTGCCTAGTAATAAATACTGTAATTTACCATCTATATCGATTTCTCCACCATTTCCTTGAAAAAAGAATGATAATCGCAGTAATAATAATACTGGTAATACTAATACCAGTAATAGTAATATGAAATAAAGCAGAGGCTTTGTTTTCATAGCATACATTATCGTGTTGAAGTACTCGTCAGAAGCTATTAGATTCAATGAATAATGGAATATTCCACAGCGTACCACTCGCTATATATATATATATAGATCGTCTCAATACATGGTGGGATTATTCCATTTTGGAAAACATCTCCTACATCAACAACATTTTCTCATTTTCTATCATCGGAAACTGCGTCGTCATGTAACTTGTATAAAACCCATTGGTTGAGACAACCTTCAGAATGGAAATATGATGACATACATACACTGTCATCGACTTCTACACAATGTTTTTCTGTTCCGCTCTTACATGTATCGACTGGCTAATTATCCAGCCGACACTTTTATCATTCTATTTCTTCCAACCAATATCTATATATATCCATATGTAAATATAGATATGCAGGAATATAAATGTTAAGTGTAACATAATCTATACGTTTGCATGAAGTTAGAAGAAGCTCCTCGTTGAGTTCAGAAAATATGCCTAGAAACCTATGTGAATTTTGAGGATTCATGAATAATCAGGACATAATACATAAGCAGTCCAATTCTTTCACTAGACATGATATCTGTCATTGATTGTGACAAGCACAATTAGTCGTTAAAATAAATTTCAGTTTATTCTGATTTTTATATGAAAATGAACTAATAACAAGAGTATTTGCGAGGTGAATGGGGATGTGACTGAAGAGGAAACCCACATCCGAGTATGATGGAAAGAAATTTAATTTTTTTTGACATTATAGATTATTGAAGACTTTATACAACGCTTGAAAAAGATTTTGATCCGATACTTTATTACTGTAAATAAATAGTTTCCCTAAATGGATAAAAAAAATGGTTCAAAAGAATGTAAAAGGTCCCATATTTAAATGATAAACTTGAAATTCAAAACATTCCAGTTTTTCACCATTTATTTTATTCGGTATCTGTTTCATGTTTCGAATATTACTTGTGTTATATATTTTTATTGATTTATAAAGATAACACAGAAATCAATAGAATTATTTCTATTGCAAAAAAATCAATGTCATATTATTCAAATAATATGATTTTAGTTTATCATAATCATATATTCAGAGTCATTCTGTAACTCTTAATAATTATTATATTATATCCTCATGTATATAACGTTGAACAATGGATTGAATCATTCAATAATTTCATAACAATGATCATCACTTGTAGAGGCATCGCAAGTCAAACAAGCACGCTTGTGAACAACCGTAAATTACTATACTTCATGGTTTAGTATTATAATCATATTTTTCGTCGTCACATAACGACAAATATGATCATTTACAAAGTTATTATACGATTCAACATGTCACCATATATACGAATTCCGTATTCTTCACCCTGTGATACTCCTCGGTTCATTTGAATAATAATGTAAAGGTATCCTTTTTTTATTATCCTACACAGTAATTTGTATTATAGTTACTATATGGTAATTATCTTATAGGCAATGACAAGTGAATTCTCGTTTCTACACTCTATCCTTACAATTTATGGGAAGATAATCATCCATCAGTTAATTTAATTTGATTTTTTTTTAGACAATCGAATTAAAGTCTAATAACTATATCAATATTTTTTATAAATATACAAATATAATATGTGCTCAAAATCTTATAAAAAGATTCGTTCTATTTTTTGTTTTGTTGTATACAAATACTGTAAAACAACAAAAATACTGAAGGATGACTCATAAAGGTCACCGAAGTCAGGCTTCTTTTGCAAATAAAGACATACATGAGTTTGATGAATGCAGAACGAAAAACGTAAGTAATAGTTTCATATAAATCATGAAATTAAATATAATTCTGTAAGCTGTAAATAAAAGTGATTTCATCATTACTTGGTTCGAATGATTATAATGTTGAATCGACTAAGTCATTTGATAAGATGCTTATAACTATAAATTTTTATTATCATGCTACTTACAGTATTCACCATTTTTTGTTCTATCAGCACGGCTGTATATCATCTTGTATGTATACATGTTTTTTTTCTTAAATGATCTCGTAAAAGTTTTAAAGTAAGTCTCTATCGTTTCGTAGAAAAAGTCAATAATCTTACAAAATTGTTCTGAAGAATTATTGAAACTATCATACAAATAAATTCGAGTTTTGTATAGAATTAAAATTCATTTTCCATTATCCATGCAGCTTAGTCATGTTGTATTTTATTTTTTGATCAATTTTTCTTTCTCTTTTTCAGAAAAACAAAATATTTTCTATTCACATTCTCATCCATTATCTAATTAAAATAAGAACACAATATAAGATGGAATATTCACTATTATTTTCTATTTAAATAGAACATTCATAAAAAATTCAGTTAATTAATTAATTCATCATTTAAAGAATGCAACACTTTTTTCTTTACATAAAGCACATTGATTGATAAGTATTAAACTTAAGAATACGAAAACTGAACCTTCTACAAGTCATGACAGATCGAAATGTCTATTGCGATCTGTGACAAACGAAGAGTAGTGAATCTAAAATTAATACTAATTTTGAAATCTATTTGTTAAAATTATCGTAAATTTCAATTGTTCGAAACTTTTACAAATTGAAAGAAACCTACGAATATGAATTAATATAAATGTAATTATCTGTTGTTTTGAAAGCCAAGAAATCAGCAATCAAAGATTTCGTAAAAAAGTTAGACACGATTTAAGATTTGACACAACTTCCAGACAAAGATATGATTATCATGTATATTAGTCACTTCCTTTTTGCATTTATCGTGACCTATGAGAATAAACATTTACATTTTTTTCAAGAGTATATGAACTCACAAATTGAAAGAAATCTTGTGAAATTCGTCTGATTTATAATACAAGCAACTAAACATATTAATTGACAATTAGAAATTTCATTTTTATAACCAAGTCGTTATTGATATAAGATACTAGTGACATCTAAACATTTTATTTTATTTCTTAAATGAATAAATTATTTTAAATCGAATTTCTTTCATCAATTAAATGAGTTCTTTTTAATTGATCATTTACTTATATACAAAAACAAATAATTCGTTTGACCCAACATTGACATAGCTTGGCTATTTGTTTTGATTGTTATTCGATTCGGTACATGCCCCGATGTACGAGACGAAATATTTGATTGCCAACAATCAAACATGTTTCTGCAATTTAAAGATTTTAAAATGACTGCTCCAGTGTATCATCATAATTCTTCACGCAATCCTCAATCATCGGAGTTAATCAATAATGAAGCATCTATTCAAGAACGACTAACACATAATCCACCTAAAAATCTTTCACCAATTGAAGTTCAATGTTTATATGATCTTCTTGGAAAGGATAGTGTGGTATTAATGAATATTTTTGTATTTAAATTGAACTTTTTTTTGTTTTGATTTATATAGACTTTAGCAACATCTGTTGCACAGATCTTACATTCAGATAACAATAATTGGAGAAAACAAGTATGTGGTGTTTTATGTTTTGTTAAAGATTACAGTAAACGAATCTATTGTTTTCGTGTATATGATCTTCAAGTGAGGGATCTCATTTTATCAATGAAAATATTCTTTAGTTATTTTAGTTCAAACAAGCAATCTATGAAGAAATAGTACATTCTTCATTACGCCTGGAAAAAATAGCAAATGTCCTTTATACATTTAATGGAATGGTTAGAATAGTTCTTTCTTAATTTGATCTTTTTATTTTTTATTAATTAAACAATATAGAATTGTAAAGTTGGTATTAATTTCATTGATCAGATGGAAGCTGAAATATTTTGTAATGATTTTCATGCAAAACAAAATAGTCGACAAAGTAAAAATAGAAAATTTTTCTTATGACAACTTCAATTTTTTATATAAAAGAAAAGAAACAATCTAAAGAACCAACAAACAAACAACAAAGACCGATGCCATTGACTAAGAGTGAAATTATAACAATATCAACCAATGAACCTTTACCAAACCCTGATGAGGCTTCGAAGAGTAAGCAAAAACGAAATTTTTTTCGAAGTGAAAAGAAAAATATTCTTATATAATATAGAGCAATCTGCTTCGAAAACTCAACATAAAAAATTCAAAGATAATCGACCTACTATATCTTTACCAATTCCTTCAAGGTTTATTAAATAAAATTCATTTGAAATAATTTATAATGTTTAGTTTTTTTTTCTTAGTTTTACTCATATTATTCATGCCGGATCTAATGATGTATTTTTTTTTGTTAAATTCAGTATGTACTTATCTATCTGTTGTTTATTGTTATAGAGTTTTGTAACAGATGAGGCACATAAAAAATTATTTGAAGAAGTATTATCTAATATGCCTATAACAACAGAAGAAAAATTATACGTTCGAAGCACTGTAACAGATACAGATGGTGCTTTAGAAAAACTTTTTACTGGTGAGTTTTTTTTCATTAATTCCTTTAACAAAAAAAAATTTGAAAACTATTCTTTTCTTTTTGCTTCTTGTAGAATCATTGCCAGATTATGGTAATCAACGACATGAAATGTCAGATTGTCCCCCGAAAATTCCACCACGTACTTATTTAACAATAGGACGAAACAATATCCAACGTGGTCCACATCAAGATATTTCTATTCCATCATTGATCACTAAGAAAACAAATATTATTTGTACTCAAAATCCAAACATGTCCAATACATCAACTATTCTCGAACCAGCAAAACCACCAATAGTTCCACCAAAACCTCATACTAATATATCAAATAATACACATGCACCTATTCCAATACCACCACCATTACCTCCTCCTCGAAACGCTAGTTTAGAAAATCAAAACCCATTTTCTAACATTCCTCCACCTCTACCTCCTCCTCGAAATGCTAGTTTAGAAAATCAAAACCCATTTTCAAACATTCCTCCACCTCTACCTCCTCCTCTTCCAATTTTTTCATCGGAACAAATGACAAACAAACCATCTACACCATCACCAAAATTTCAACATAATGGTTTCCTTCAAGAAATCCTTGATTATAATAAATCTAAATTAAAAGTACGTATTCTTATCATCTTTCGATTATTATCATTTTCTTTCCTTGACTATTCATTTTAGTCAGAGGCAGAACGATCAACAACGTTGAAAACATCATCTACAAATAAATCAAATGGCGAAGTACAGCGTACTCTAGAAGCAAATATTCTTGAAATGATTGCTCAACGACGACCAGGAATAAGTAAATATTTTAATAATTTAATATTTGAAAATTTCATTTCTTTTTAGTGGGACGTGATAATGATAATGATGATGAAAATGATTTAAACGAAGATGAATGGGATGAATGATCTCTATTTAAAAATTATATTTTGTTCATTTATAATTTTCATACGATATAATCAAGATTTATTCATTGGTTTTAACATACTCCGAACATCTTTATTATGTATATTGATAAAAAAAACTAGCCAGCAATAGGTTAGTATTCATGATATTTTTTTTGATCTTACGAATGCGTCTATGTAACCATGATTTTTTACGCTTAATTTTTATTTTTATATTATTCTGATACGAATGCTTTCATCTATTTTGTATTCTATAACAAAGATTTGTGAGAATTTGCTCTTCTTTGTTTTTTATATCTATGCAAACAATAAATAACAGCGAATTCATCTCTTATTGTTTTCTTGTATCATTAGAACGTTTTTTTTGTAATCAAACGATCTATAATTTGCCTCCCTGCATGATACAAACAGAGCAAAAGCATTTTTGAAACTATGCGCATGTGACATAAACTAGCAGCACGTCCTCATCGTTTCAAATGCATGTTTGTTCCATTCGTCTCAACTTCGGAGAGATACAAAAAAGATTGATAGAACCTGTCAGATTGGTTCCGAACCGGATCCAGCTCTGAAGATTTTGGATCCGATGGAGTCTAATCATCTGATAAATGTATAAGCTACGTTAATCACCGAATACAAAAAAACAGACAAAATTAAGTCGTATCTTTGGAACGACTGTCCAGTAACCGATCAGAAAAGTTCATTGAAACTATCAAAGTACGGTTCGATCGGGTGTGAATTCAGGTCAGAGTTCAACAACTTTTCACTCCATGTACCCCATAGATTTGGTTTAAACTAGTTACGTACATTTATAAAAATTTTCTAGATCTCAGTGAGTTGAAACAATCATACGATATCGTTTTATGAGTACAAGCATCTATTGACATTGTTAAATAAAAGTGATTGATAGACAGTCATTTTATCATTGTACATAGTAACCATAAACTGACATTTTTACCGATCTTTTCAACTTATGAAAAGACTTTATGATATCTTTAGGTAAAGAATGACATAGTATTCAAGTGCATAATGATTTTTATGGCTGTCGAATAATGAGTCATCAAATTTTTTTGATAAAGAACATGCGGTTATCGTTACATTCTTTCTGTATGTCACAACTACCATAGAATTTTGTTCTCTAGCTTACACTATTTATTTGAGAATATATTGATAATATCCATGTTTACCGTAATGAAAACTAAAGATATAAGATTTTAAAAAGCATAATTAAAATCATCGATATATGTAACTCGAACAAATTGAAAGAGACATGTTTCAACTGTAAATAAAAAATTTGATTAAAGTTCATATTTCTTCATGATGTTTTGGCATTGATGAATTTTTTCGTATTTTTTAAAATTTTTAATCATCGTTTTTTTTACAGTGCTTGTAACAGTCGTTTCATAGTATCACGAATAGCTAATCCATCAAGTTTTCTACTTAAACCATCAAAATCGCATCTTTCTATTGCATGTTTTGTTAAATATATATCATCATAATCATTATATAATTTTGATGAATAAAATATAATTCGTTCACATAATGCTAATATACCAGCATATGTTTCAAATTTAAATTCACGTTCTTGATTATCTAAATCAATTAATTGACAAAGATGATTAAAATGTATACGTTTAAAATTTTCTTTATGTATAGAAGCTATTGATAAATATAAATCGGATGATTCAAAAAGATAATGTTTATTACGATATCTACTAAATAAACGTTTAAATTGATATTGTCGACGTGATGATAAACGACAGTAATTAGTGAGATAATCAAGTGGTGTCATCTTTTCAAGTAATTTTAAATCATATGGTAATTCAAAACGACAAGCCTAAGAAAATAATTAAATTGATTAATTCTTTTTTGTTTATTTAATTTAAGAATAAAAACAAACTTGTAATGATAATGGCATTGGACCAATAGATATTGCACTTGTACTGTCTTTTATTTTGACTAATAAATCCAATGTTTCTTGATTTGTGATTGAATTTTCATCGTTTTCTTCCGTTTCAATTTCTATTTTCTTTGTTTTAAAACGATTACTACGAAATATTAATAAATTAGGAGTGTTAGTAATATCTGTTATGGCACCCTGATTACTAATGATTGTATCATCATTCAAAGATTTAATTTGATTAAATAGATTTTTTTGACTATTTAATTTTTCTAAATCTGGCTGTTGTTTAGTTGCTATTATATTATCAATGACAGGAAGAATAATATCTTCTTCATTATTTTCAACTATTAATGAAAGAGTATCGTTCTTGTTAGTTAATGGTTTTAATTTTGTTTTATCATTATTGACTTTTATGAATACATAACGTGATGGTACCGGTGGTTTTCTGGATTGCTTATTTCGAATTGATTTTTCCAGTCGAGTAGTTGCATTTTGAGCTAGCGCAACAATTCTAAATTTTTCAATAATAATTGAATTTTCTATTGTAGAATCGTTTTTATTCAAGTTTGACAATGTTTTTGATTTGAAGTCCATAAAAAAGTCTTGATCTTTTTTATCAGTTTTGGATTGTTTTGCATAGCTCATTTTAGTTGACGACTTTTAAAAAATGATGTTTTTTGGTTACTATAAAGATCTTCTTATATATATTGTTTTTTGCATGTGATAAGGAAAGAAAAATTAAAGAGGAACAAATTTATATTTATTTATCTTGCACTACGATAACCTATTCGCTGAATTAATGACAAAGCAATTCAGATATATATGAAAAAAAAGAACTTGGATTTTCTATAAATTTTATCATCGAACGGGACAACTGAGTAATCAACATTAATGTTTCATCATAAGATTAATTTCTCGAAATAAAGTACTTGATTTTTTTTCTTGTAGAAAATGTTATCGATTTTTTTTTTCGATCCTTCAGAAGTTTTGTAATGGCAAATATATCATCGACGATGTCAATAAAGAATATACAATAAATTCTTTTTGACTTCTATGATGTAATAGTTGTTTGCCATCACTTATATAGAAGCGGAATTACTTGTGACTAAACTAGAAATTAATTATACAACATTCTTTTGACTTTCACTTGACATTGAATTAATAAAATAATATGAATTTATTTTGGTCATAGAATTCTTTCTATGTCAGAGATATATATTTTTGAAATTACTATTGAGATATTTTGCGTGACGTCATATCTTCATTGCATCATCTTTTCTATTTCTATTTTAGATGACAAACGAAACGAGTCTCCCATACTTGAGTGAACAAAAAAAAATGGATGATGAGACAACACTTCGACATTTTACATCAATTCGACAAAAAGAACCTGAGTATGAATAGAGATATGAAAATTCCTTTTTTTTTTGTTTTGTATATTTACTTTTCTTTCTAATAATAGAACATCAGTAGCTATAACAGCTATACGTACATTACTTGATGTTATAAAACGTTCATCAGCTGGTACATTAAGTGAACTATCACGTGAACTTAAAGTAGCTGTACAATTATTAACAACACAAACTGATTCATCAATGCCGAGTGTTAAATCAGGTTGTGAATTATTTTTATGTTTTATAACATTAGCAAAATTAGATGCATATGCAATTGATGAATGTCGTCAAAAATTAATTGAACGTGGTCAAGTTTTTTTAGATCGAGCATTATTATCACGACAACGTATTTGTGAATATAGTCAAGAATTTATTGTTGATGGTTGTATTATTTTAACACATTCATATTCACGTGTTGTTCTTACTTTACTTAAATATGCATCAAAATTTACACGTTTTAAAGTATTTGTTACACAATCTGAACCAGATAAAAGTGGTATAAAAATGAGAGATGAATTAGAATCTATTGGCATACCAGCAGTATGTATATTAGATGCTAGTGTAGCATATATGATGGAACAAGTAACATTTGTTTTAATTGGTGCTGAAGCTGTTGTTGAAAGTGGAGGAATAATTAATAAAATTGGTACATTTAATTTAGCTATTGCAGCACATGAAATGAATAAACCATTTTATGTTGCTGCTGAATCATTTAAATTTGTTCGAATTTATCCATTAAATAATCGTGATTTACCTGATCATTTTAAATATAAATCATCAACAATAGCACGTTTAGGTGAAAAAGATCTTATTAATGAACATCCACTTGTTGATTATACACCACCAGCTTATATTACATTATTATTTACAGATATTGGTCTATTAACACCATCGGCTGTTAGTGATGAATTAATTAAACTTTATATTTAAAAATTAGAATTAAAGTAAAGGTAGTCAAGAAATCATCTCATTTAAAAGAAATATTTTGTTTTTTTTTCGTTGTGTTTTTTTATTGTAATAAAGAAAAAAACTTTCTACGTTAAACATTTTCTACATTGCTAAAGGTTTCAAACAAGTGAATTGATCGATTCATTTAAGTTTGAAACGTAATGCAAAATGATTTAACATAGAAATTTTTTCCCATTCATATATTGTAATCAAATCCGATTGATGTTTTTTTTTCTTTCTTTCTTTAACCGATTGTTTTGTTTTATAAGACAAAAACACCAGAAACGAAACAAATATTAGTTGAGATTTCTATATACAATTCTCTCATGATCATATATAAAAAATTGAAAGAAAAACAAAAACAAAGAAAAAAATATATGTAAGAGATGTCAAAATTCCGACAAAATACTTTCTACTCGATCATAAATTGAATTACCCCGATCGACAAGAGCATTTAAACGTTCTAGAACATTAATAATTGATTCCTGTGTTGTTGCTAATAATCTTCCTGATTGTTTATCTTCTTTTTGTTGTTGTTCAGTATCAATTAATAAAACAGATGATTCATCAATAATTAATCGAGCATTTTCTTGCTGTTGATTAACAACATGTGACAATGATCGAACAATATCATCTAATTTTGAATGACGATGACCATTTGTTAAAAGATGATTTCTTACTGGAATAGATCCATGTTGTTCATCATTATTATATTCATCCTTTGATATAATAGCACGATCAAGTTCGCTTAAAGCTGAAAAGAAAAAAAGATGTAATCAAAATATAAAAATAATTTTTTTTTAAAACTATTTTACCTTTTTCCAAATGTGTACGTACAGATAATAAATCAGATTTAGTATTCATTGTAGATGAAATAAATGATGAAGGCGGTGGTGGTGGTAGTAGTGGCGGCGGGTGTCTGTGATTTGTCAATGGTAACATTCGTTTTCGTTGATGACCTGAAAGAGTAATCAGTGAAGATTGAATTTGTTGGTGATGTTGTTGCTGTTGTTCATCATCATTATTCATTGAATTATTTATTCCACTATGTTCATCACTTCCATTTGTTATTGTTGGACTTGCAGGTTGTTGTTGATCATTATCTGTACCTGTATTATTATCTTCATCATCATTATCTATATCATCTTCATCATCCATGTCATGATCCAGATGAAGAGAAGAAATTTGCTCAGGCACTTGAGTAATACCACGCGTTGATGAACGAGTATACGATCCACTAATACCATTTGTATGAGAATCTTTGGCTTTTTTAGCCGCACTAGAAATTAAGAATAATTTGTTGAAATATTAAATTCTTCTTAATTGCAGTATAGAGGTTGGATATTTTTATTGAACTTTATCTTTCATCACGATCATGCATTCTAATTGAAATAAACTGACACTTTCTTTCAACGTTTTCTTCTAGTTGCATGTGCGTGTGTGTGTCATCACACGTCTTCCTTACTTACATTTCTTCATCAAAAAGAAAAAGGAAAACATTAAGTAGAATTTCTAAAGTAACCAGGAAAAAAATCTTTGACTGTTATTTACTTGAGTGTTTATTCAATTCTAAATATAAGAATAGAACGATGTTTAACCATCATAGACGTCCGATTATTTTTAAAATTAAATAAGCATGATTCCACTCGGATGCATTACAACTTTGTAGACTTAGAGAATTTTTTTTACACCTTAGAAGTTCAGATACGAGAAATAATTTCCTTCCGATCATATATCATTTCCGTCAACAAAGAACATTGAAAAAAAAAAGGAATCCTTTTTCTTTTCTTAATAAATATCAATATTTCAAATTGAATTCATCTATACATGTATATATGTGTATATATACATGTATTTTTTTATGACAAAAAAAAAAAAACAAATTCTTTTTACCGTTCTCGATGAAAATAATCCGAAATGCGTCGATAAGCTTTACGTTCATCGAGTAGTTTATAAATTTTTTTTATTGTCGATGGTACATTCGATTCACGTTTGATATATTCACTATATTTTTTATAATCATTACCTAAACAAAAATAACATCTAATTGTTATTATGTGTTTTTTTTTTATTGATATTACTCAAATAGATAAAATTAACTAACCATAAATTTCACGTAAACGAAACAATAATTCTTTTTCATCATCTTGAATACGTATAACTTTCGAAGATGTATTAGTATTTGTTATACCGGCCATTCTAACTTCACGCGTAGTATGTCAGTATGTGTTACGCGAATAAAAGTCCGACTCAGCGTAGTTGACGACGAAAGACAGACGATAGATGTGCGAGCGCCGTATGTGTGTGCGTGTGTGCTCGCTCGGTGGAAGAGGGAAAAGAGGGAAAGAAGAGAAATGAATGATGACGGACTGAATGAAACACGACGACGACGACAACCGACGAGTCGGCGCTGCAGCGACGGCTCGTTCGCTCGTTGTCGGTTGGTGCTGCGAGCTTGTATGTTTGTCTCTTTTTTCTTCATCACTCGGTAGCGTTAGCGACGGTGACTGGCGCAAGTCGATCATGTTCGTTTGTTCTTTGCCTATTACTCGCTTTTGGTCGTACCCGGCGAGAAACGAGTATGTCTACGTGATGTGTGCGAGCGCACATCCACGAATAGTAGTAGAAGTTGGTCTCTTTTGTGTTGATCGAGTTACGGCAAGAGTGTGTCTGCGTGGGGTCAACAAATGCGTTCGCAATAATAGTATGATAGCAAAAAAAAAAGGAGAAAGAAGAAAAAGGAAGAACGAGAAACTTCATGTATATGAAGATCTTATGGAACTGTATTTTTAAATACTTATTAATTGATATATTTATATATACATATATACTATTGTAGATGTTTATTCGTTCATTAAATCATCTTCTTAAAAAATCTAGTAATGCTTGTCTTTCAACAGAAATTCGACGAGCATTATCGAACGGATCATTTGTTCGACAGGTAGAAAATAAAATTGTTTTTTTTTTCGAATTATTTTTAAAATAAATTCATTCTACTGTCTCAGTTATTCGAACAAGAAACATCAACTTATACTTATATAGTAGCTGATGGAAAAACTAAAGATGCTTTGATTATTGATCCAGTTATAACAACAGTAGCACGCGATATGCAACTTATTAAACAACTCGGTTTACGTTTACGATATGCATGTACGTTTGTAAATAATGAATAATACTCTATTAAAGTTTTTTTTTTCTCAGTTAATACACATGTTCATGCTGATCACATTACTGGAAGTGGTCGTCTTAAAACGTTATTACCCGAATGTCGAAGTGTAATAAGCAAGGATAGTGGTGGAAAAGCAGATATATATGTTGGAGATGGTGATGAAATTGAAATTGGTGATAAAAATGACAAAAATCAACGTCTAATAATTGAATGTCGATCAACACCAGGACATACAAATGGTAGATCAAATTTAGATTTTACTTATAAAAAATAATTATAATTTTATATAACTAGGTTGTATGACATTTGTTTGGCATAAAGGATCAAGTGTATTTACTGGCGATTGTCTTTTGATTCGAGGTTGTGGACGTACTGATTTTCAACAAGGAAGTCCTGACAAAATATATACATCAATTCATGAACGTATATTTACATTACCGGAGCATTTTATTGTTTATCCTGGACATGATTATACTGGTTATTATTTAAGATATAACAATAAAAAATTTACATTCTTTTTTTCTTACATTATTAGGTCAAACAAGTTCAACAGTTGGCGAAGAAAAAAAATATAATACTCGTTTAACAAAACCACGTGAAAATTTTGTTGCTTTTATGAAAGAACTTAAACTTAGTTATCCAAAACAAATTGGTAAGATTATTATAAGATGTCTTTTTATCATATTTATTGTACTATTTTAGACAAAGCTCTCCCAGCTAATCTGATATGTGGTTTGTTACCAGATCCTTAAAGCAGGCATATTTGACGTACTTTGGACATTCAAATTTTTTTTTTAAATTTATTCATTCCAAATAATTGAGTATTTAAATCAATAAGGACAAGAGCTAAACTAGAATTAATGCTATTTTCGTTTTATTAGATTGAATTTTTATAAGTATTACATTAAAATAAATATTTTAATTGAATTTTCTCTAGAATAAAAATATTTTGATTATAAAAACAATTTTATTTGCTCAATAAAATAAAAAATATTTTTATAAAAATAATCTAAGAAGAATATGTTTTCGACAAGAAGATCTTTTCTTGTTGATGAATGTCGAATTGAATTGAATAATAATAAAAAAAACACTACTGATCTATGACTATCATTGGCTTTCAAACAATAACAATGATTATCGATGAATAGGTTTTGTCAAAATCGAATTAGAACAAACAGATTAATAACAAAGTATATATATAAGATCAATCAAATACTGATGATGCATTGATTTGTTTCATTTCTTTCTATGCCAACGAATATCATGCTGTTAATTTACATAAAATCTAGTTGATTATTGAAGTCAATATTTGATTGAGCCATGAGTGGAGGCGCTGCATTAATAATGTATTCAAACAATATTGATAATCAAGTAATATGTTACGATCTTAAACTCTCGAAGAATAAAAACTGTTAATCGAAGAAAAAATTCAAACGTCTATCTTAGCTTATTGTTGTTCGCTATTAATTATTTCATTGTATTCTTGACATTATTGATTCAAAGTTAGTAAGATTCTAGTTTTATTTCTCACCTTAGCCTCTTGTTTAGATTCTGTGTTATGTGTAGAATAAAAAAAAAATGTCAAACGCGAGTAAACATAATGACAAACAAAAAGAAACAGTAAAAATGAGAATTATTTTTTTCTCTTTCGTTCTCTATGAGATAGCATCGGTAACTTTTTTGTTTGTATCAATAGTACCATTACGATAAAGATGTTCAATATAAGTTTTACGTGATGGATGTATATCACCATCGGGTCGATTAATTGGAGTCCAAACAGGTTCACCAACAAAAAAACGTCTAGCACGAATATAATTATGTTTATCAGGTATAAATCGATGATAAATTCCTAAATGATAAAAATAAAGTCAAAAAGAGATAAAAAGTTGTTTTGTTTTTTTCGTTTATGTTACCAGCAGGTAAAATAAGTAAATCTCCTGGAAAAACATGAATTCTCATCCATTTATCATTATGATCTCGTACATCAAAAAAACCTGAACCTTCAAGTACAAGACGAATTTCTTCATCAGAATGAATATGTTCAGCAAAGCAAATTTTTAATTTTTCTTCATAATTATTCATTGATGGTTCAATTTTAATTTCATCTTCATATGTATATCTATGAAAACGAGAAATATTAAATTATTAAATAATAATAATGATGATTTGTTTTTTTTTTTACCCTCGATCATGTTTTAATTTAATTAATGATGGACTTTCATGTCCAACAAGAATTTGATCCGGATGAAAATACCATACTTCAACATCTGTACGAGCACATAATGTTGCCGTGTCAACCTCTTCTAATAAATGTTCATCCTGTGGATCTTCTGTTTGATCATCCATATACCATGTTCGTACCTAAAATCAATCCATAATGAAAGTCAATAATTAAGTCAATCATACCATGATTATAATTTAATTTCTTGATAATTTTTTCTTCTTTTAAAATCTAGAAAATTAAATAAAAACTAGATGATGAATTAATTCTATTTAGTTCAATTAAATAGATTTTTTTAACGCTTGTTCCTGATTAATTTTTACTGCTAGGATTTCTAATATGAAGTATAGTACACCAGTGAGCAATAAATCATGTGTTTTGTTTTTGAGTAATTCAAAAGTGTATTTTTTTTTCTATAAGCAAAAAAACAAAAGATTATTTTTGAAGAATCATAATTTTCAGGTATTTTATGCAATTTGTATCGTTTATATATTGTAGTGAAATAACATTCAGTTAAAAAACTTGTCAGCACAGTCACTTTAGAGCTAACATATGGAACTCATGTTTTATTTTCAGCTTCATTAGACTAATACCAAATACGTTAAGCGAAAAATCTCTAATAGATAAGTTTCTTTGTAAGAATAATCGACAATCAGACGAATGATCTGTCTTATTTTTTTATGTTAGCTTTTTGCTTGCGCCTCGTTATTTATTTTCGTTTTTCTTAAAGTACTATGATCATTCTATTAACTAATAAATAAAATTGTTGTACACATCTTTAATGCCTACAACAGATCTCAATATTAGAGCACATCAAATCCAAAATGTTTGATCCAAACCATAGTCCATTTATACTTTTAGTATTGGTCATATGGCGACAATGACACATCAAAACCTCACACACCGTCTTCTTTAATATCCATCATAGAATCAGATATTTGTATTTAAAAAATCAGAAATTACGACATTTCAGCCATGCAAATTTCAAGGAAGATTTTGTAGGAACATTCTCAAATCGTCTAATGAGAAAATGTTCTTTAGATGGGCAATCGATTTCCCACCGGAAACTAGTATACTATAGATTATCAACTATGCTGATTTTGAAAATAGTCATAAGATATCCCCTTAGGTCTTTATATTTTGATTTCCTAGACCAACAAAAATAAGATAATACTATCTTGAAGATTTTCACAGTGAAACATTGTTATGTATGTGATGTATAAATTAAAATAGCTGAATATTCTGCAAAAAAAAACAACATTTGAAATAGAAAAAGTAATAGTTTTCTAGACAATTCACTGTATTCTATAATCTAAACAGATCAAAAAGAATCTTTGGCGAGAAATTTTGTTAGTTCGAAAAACTAATACATTAAAAACCTAATGAGATTTCTCATGGCCATATTCGGAATCAACATGATTGATAACTCATAATCTACTAGCTTTCGAAGAGAAAGTGATTGATCAGTTGAAAACGTTTCCTCGTAAGCCTTCTTGTTAATGCTGTCAGTATCGTGTTTTCGTCTCATTGCTAAAGAACTACAAAAAAAAAAGAAGTCTATTGTTCTTGGTTGCTATGAAAAAATATCCATTGACTATTAATTCTGGTTGTTAAAGTCTTTTGTAAATGTCTGTGCCAACGGCGTTAAGGTCATTGTTTCCTTTGTCAAATTATGTGAATTCAAGAAAAATAAAAAGAATTGATTTCATGTATCACATCACATTTTCTACAGATTCTAATCGAAGAAAAACAATCTGTTTTTGTTTCTCTTATAATTTAAACAGATAATCTTAACTATTACAAAATATTTTCAAATAATATTTCGATATAGATCTGGAATTTCAAATGTATTTTTTTCAAAAACTGCACAAGTGTTTCTATTGATAGTATAAATCATTGACGAGCGATACTTTGTTACACCAGATGGTACATATCGATTATATTATAGAGAAGTGCTCATTGAATATTATTTGAATATAATAGGCTTGATAGAAAATGAAATAACAAAAAGAAAAAAAAAAAGTTTATTTCATTCGACTTCTACTATTTAATAAATGATCTTAAGCTTATCATGGAATAAAATCAATAAAGGGTAATCAATAAGAGTTATAATCCACTTTCCACCGTTGCGAACATTTGTAGTTAACATAACAGCAGACATTCGATTATACAATAATTTATAAATCGTATCTATCCAGTATCATATCATTCAAGAATAGTTGTTTTTTTTTGCTCTTTATAGTCAATAAATTTTTTTCAGTTCAGCTTCTTGCGATAGACTTTGAAATTATAAGGAAAAACATAAATATAAATCATTTAACTTACTCGTTTCATTTTATAAAATAGGAGCGATTCTGCACTCTTTTTCTTAAAAATGAATTTCGAGAAAAACGAAAAAAAAAAATTTGCCTGTATGTATCGGAACCATTTTTTTTAATATGATAGCTAAAAAAGCCAGAAATACAGGTTCATATTGAACGATTTCGACCATCAAAATTTCAGTTTCAAGAAAAAATGAATATCATATTTAGAATCAGCGCAAAAATCTGCATCGAGTAGTATACTTAATATTCAAAACTAATTTTTGTTGAAGTTCGATCTTAGAGTAGACATAGGATATAAGAACCAAAATTTGAGGGAAATTAGTTTTGGAGTATTAAGTATACTAGTTCATGTAGGTTTTTGTGCTGATTCTGAATATCGTATTCGTTTTTTTCGGAACTGAAATTCTGATTGTGGAAGTCTTTGAATATGAACTCGTTTTTATGGATTTTTCTGCTATCAAATCGAAAAAAATTGATTTTCTCAGCAATCAAATCATATTTTTCAAAACATATGCATAACTTCTTTCCTAACTATATGATGAATAAAATGAAAAAAGGAATCAGATAAATATTAAGGCTACTGAGACTTGATGGGTTTAGTGTATTTCAATTTTTATAGGCTTTTCTGATCTTGTTAACAGAAGTTTCACTCGAAAAATAATATTTCTATAGGTAACTCGACGAGTTCTATCCAACCATAAGAAAAAATTATCAAAAACAAAATGTTTCGAATCGCCGCGTCTTATAATAGTTTCGATAACTCTTGTGGTTTAGCAATTTGCAGATTGGACAGACTCTGACATATATATCTCTTATATCTTCAACAGACAAGATAATTAGATCGAGTGTAACAGACATATAAGTGGTACTATACTTCCTAGAACATACTTATTCATACTTATCTAGCATCAGTGTATATTAGCCGATGTGGTTTTGATTGTGGACAATCTATAGCTGCAAAGTAGAATCAGATAGAACGAAAGAGATTACAGTCTATTTGATGGAAGACATTTAATCTGAAAACGAGAATATTACTTCATCTGGATTGAATTTATGTCAGACGTACGCTATCATTTATAAGCAAGACTGTCAGTCAACACTTATAATGAAATCATATTCAAAAAATATCTTTCCTAACCTATAAAATAGACCGATAAGGATACGATATTAGTATGAATTTTTAATGAAAATTAGAAGATGATTATAA